AAACGTCGACTCTAACAATTTCAGTTCCTGCTTCCTCTTTTTCAGACTTCACGAACTTTTATATGTTACTGCACAACAAAAATGTCCAACCCAACTTTTCTGAATCCTACTGCGACAAATAAATCAAATAGAGAATTCGAAAAAATAATCAATATATAAATAAATTTTTTGAAATATATATAAGCTTATGTTTGTTTGTAATATCAATAAAGCAATAATACGTATATAGTAATAATTCGTTGGCACTAGTAACGATTAGAAAAAAGAGAAGTACTTGAACAATTAATTTTTCTAATCAATCATTGAAAAATTTCAGCCAATAAGTGCAACCCTATGAAAAAAAAGGATGTCTGGGCCTCCATCTCTTGTTAATCGGAATGATAAATACCCTTGATCGGTTAAACAATTTTCCACTAATTAAATTCTTCTCTGACGTATTAAGCTACCATCGCATGTCTTATTCATTGGAATAATAAATACAATCAATTCGTTAAACTATTTTTTTACTAATGAAAATTTACTCTCAGACCTATTCCGACAGATTGACTTAGGAGCTTGAGAACACCCTCTGTCAGGCTGGTCTGGAATAACCAAAAAATTGAACTTGCTGATTGACTGTTCGTTTTTTAGGAGGTTGTATTACTCACGAAAATAGTTAATTAGGTAACGTCGCGCTTAAATTAGGAACATAGCATTAACACTAGACACATATTAAGGATCCAAATGTGATGACAAACTTTCTAATGTTTGTAATAGAATTTAAGTTGATTCGGAATTGTTAAGATTAGTGTTGGGAATTTTATTACTAATATACCAGATATCAAGAAATAATAGGTGACTACTTTAATAAAATATTAATTTATTACAAAGTCAGGTCACCTATGTTCAATGATGGGAATATATGTACGTTATGTAGCAAAATTACTACGCAGGGATAGCAGTCTACGTAGAAATTCTGCGAGCCTAAGCGTTATTTAATAATTTTTAGCCAAGTTTTTAAAATTTGGCAGCATTAAAGAAAAAGAATAAAACTATTCTGAAATATTCAAAGCAGAAAATGAATGGACATAAATATTAAAATAAACATTAAACCAAAATTCGAGTACCATTAAAATAGTGCAATATGTATTATTTTTGTTATTTATTCATAAATATCAATAATAAAGTTTATGTCATTTAAATGAAGAATATGTAGTGAAATGTGAAGGTAAAAAAGAAAGCTACTACAGAATAAGAAATTTTGAGAATTCATAGATTTTGAATTCAACAGTGGGAAAGAATTTTGAAATGAATACAATTACATAAACATAGAGCAAGAGAAGAATATAGAATGAGTGAAATAAAGACTACGGTTGATACAAATTACGTATTTATTAAAATTATAATAATAAATCTCAAGGAAATAGTCGTTTTAAGGCTTTTATAGGACTTTTGAAGTAAAAAGAACCCAAACTGCCCTGAATCAAAATGATTTGTTGTAAATTCTGGACAAATTTTTGCGCAGGCAATTGTAAATTACATAAGAAAATTTTGGGAAACTCGTACATCACAAATTGTCCACTAAATTTCCAGACAATTACGAGCAGAATAAACTTATCATCTCAAAAATATTTTTTTTGGGACCTTTCCACTACAGTGCCATATTATATGGTCTAGGTGCTGAAAAATTGTCAAAAAAAAAAAGATTTTTGGAAAATCAATTTTTTATTATACAATTTTGTAATAAATCATATGAAATGCAATCTTTAAAGAGCTATACTGCAAAATTTTATTAATGCTATTACTTTTGTGTTTTAAGTGAAAAATGATCTAATCTTATTCTAAATTGATTATGTAAAAAAATTTCTTTTGAAAAAATTGTCACTTCCGTCCCTTTTTCCATCACCTATCCCATATGTATACATGGTTTTTTTAATTGCATGTTTTTATTTAGTTAATAATTAAGTAATAGGGGGTTTCAAAGTTAACAAATGAGTGGCGCATTTTGAAATTAAATGAGAGTTTGAAAAGTCTTATTTGTATTTCAAAATTTTAAAATCGGAAAATGAAATGGGAGTGTCTGGAGATCCCCATTTAACGAAATAAATAGACTTTTCAACGACAAAAATCATAATTTCAAATTTATCGGAAAATGAAATATAGCTGATACATCGCTCATTTGAAAATAAATCTAACCAATTTCAATTAAAATTAGATTTCCGCATTTTAACTTTGAAACCCTGATAGTAGAATTCAGAAATTTCAAAATCTCATTGCTAAAGGTCCAAAAGCAAGTTTTATTCTTAGCAATTAGTTGATATATTGTTTCTGCTTGTAGACGATATCAAAGTGTAGCATATAGTTTGATACGTAATGGATTTTATTTGTTATAATTCTCTGTAAAGTTGGAAATTTTTATTCTTTTTTTTTTTTTATTGAAATAAGGGCTTTTAAATTCCTCTTTTTTTTCCCTTAAGAAGCAATAATCATAAACAAATTTAGTTTAAGTAAATTGATCTTATGACTTTGAAAGCAAATTAATTGCCAAAAATTTAACGCGAATGTAAAGACGACTTAAATAATTGTACGAATGACATCGAATTGTAAATTTATAAGTTCAAACTATAACAATGATGGTTTCGAAAGAATTCGTTACACAATTTAAAGTTTTTCTAACGCACATAAAATTTAAAATTTACATCCAGAGTTCATAATAAATTTATCAGAGGAAATTTTGACTGTGAATAAAATATATGTCGTACACCAGATAGGAATCCGTCCTATTTAGATTCCGGCGTCCCAATTCAGAGTGGGATAGCCGGATTTAGAATTCTTATACAAGGCACTGGCTTATAATTATAATCCGAATTTTAACTCCTCAAATCGTACAATTACATGAAATTTCTATTTACCGAATCTTATGCAAAAATCAAAACCTAGGTGAGTCTTTGACCACTCTAGTGGGTTTAGGTCGCAGATAAATATGTCTGAGCTTCTATTCTTGCATGTAATTTTGTTTTTATTTGTACTTGTACAAATAGTAGTATCTCTTTAATGTAGTTACTATTTTTAAAGTTACTAATAAAGATATGAGCAAGGCCTCACCTTAATACCAAAAAAAAAAAAAAAAAAAAAAAAAAGAATCTTATGCAAAAATTACGTAGATTACGTAAAATTACGGTAATTTCACTATTCTATGGGTGGGTTCGTGACTTCAATAATTAATTTTAACAGCGGTAAATTCGTGATTTAATATTGTTTTTAATAGTGCGTGATTTCATGATTTTAACTGTATTAGTTAAGTAATAATTTTTATTGCGCTTTACAAAAATATGTGGCCTCTGCAGATCACAATGCCGCGTAATAATCGGAGATTCTATAGATTTTAAGAATTTTACTGAGTTCAAAGAAACATAAATGTAACCGCTTGGAAAGATAAAATAATAGACAATCTAAATTCTCAGAAATTTTTCTCGATCATTATTACAAAAATCATGTGGACACGTCTATTTGCAAAACGCTATAATTGTGGGTGAGAATCTCTACAATGAGTGGGTTCTCAATCTCAATAATGTGTGATTTTAAGTTCATAGTTTGGTAGCACATAGATTATAATTCAAACATCACATGGATTCGCGGTTTCTATATTATAAGATTCATAATTTTAATGTTGGATGGGTTCATTATTCAATAATGAATAGTTCGCGATTTCAATGGTTGTTGGTCCATGATTTTAACGGTGGGTTCGTGATTCGATATTAGATAAGTTCATGATTTTAGAAATGAAAAATTAACGATTTCAATTGTATATGAGTTTGTTTAAAATTTTAATGAGTGTGAGTCATTTCATAAATTCAATATTTTGTGAATTCATGGTCTTAACTATAGATGCTGGTGAAACTAAATAACGTTGGTGAAACTGGTGACTATCTAAAATCCGATTGGCTATTATATTAAATTTCACCAGTTTCACCATTCGCCAAGAGTTCACCAGTTTCACCAGCATCTATAGTCTTAACAGCAAATGGGTTTATTATTTTAATATTGAGATTTTCAACAATGGATAAATTCATGATTTTAACATTAGTTCCATAATTTTAACGGTAGGTTGGTTATACTTTTAATAATAGGTGAGTCAAGATTTTAATGATGGTGCATTTTAATAATGGGTGTTTTGTGATTTCAACAGTGAGTGGTTCATAATTCCCGTGCCTAATAAATATGTTAAAGATAGTGTTTATTCCTACTTTTATTTCAGAAAGAAAAAATATTCTTCAAGCTTTTAATGTCTATATGTATATGTAATTATAGCAATTCTCAAAACACTTTAGATAACGGATCTACTTGAGTTTGAGTTTAAAAATTTCCGGGTTACCCGGAATTATTAATACTAATACGTATTGGTCATCTGCTAGGAAAATCGCTATTTGAAAGTGATTTTCTTAACATATATCAGTAACGGTAAGGGTGTGACAAATTACATAATATTTTTTACTAAATAAGATACATTTGATTGGTTAATACCATAAGATATTTAAGACTTCCCCTCAAGATATTAAACAATTTACGAATAATATATGCAAATGCACATGAACGACACTAACATGAGGTTGTAAAACTATTCTACTTGATTAATCATGATTGAAACTTGTTTTATTGAATTTATATATAATAGTGATATGCAAATATAAAAAGCAAACATTCATACTACGTACGTACGTACAAGCACAACGTCAAAATATTGTGGATAGATAGGAAGATACGTAATATAATGTATCACAAAATATAATAATGTAATATAATACAATAATATGATGCAATATAAAATTAAACACTTTCTTTAGATACATGCCAAACTTCATAATCTTCTATTGTATAGGTCTTTTTCAGTGTTGTAAATTTCTTTAAATTTGAATAAATATTAGAATTAGATATATGTAGCGAATTTAAATCAATATACATGTCAAAATCATTTTTGTTACAGCCAAAGCATGGCCCATAATCAGAATAATATTCCGAAGCTAATGAATTCTTTTTAACGCGCGCAAATTTTGATTTTCTGAAATCATTTTGATTATCGAAAGAAAATAAAAAATTTTTTCTTGATACTTTTCTTTCAAAATAATGATGTTCTGTGTTTAAATCATTATAACCACCAAATAGACGTTGATCAGTAAGTTTTACAATTGTCAAAGTTGGACCTTGATTGTCACATAACTTATGAAATTTCTCTGCTTTGAAATCATTTTCCTTTCCACGATAAAGAAGAACAAAATCATAGAGATTGTTATTCGAAAAATGTTTTGGCTTCGTATTTAAGGTTGTTTTTCCAGAATATTCTTTCTTTTCATTTGTATTCAAATTATTTGAACTAAAAAATTTGTGTAAAAGATTTTTATTTTTCTTATCATTTTGATCAGCTTCTTCAATCCAACTTTCAAAAATTTTAAAGTGTCGTGGTTTAAGAAGGAATGTGAATGGTTCATATCTTGATGGCAAAATATTTGCCTCCTTTGGTGGTGAGCTAGGGTCAAGATAATAATCTACAATATTTTGATATAAGTTATTTGGTAGAACGTTTTCAAAAAGTATATTGTTTTTATTAAAATCTTCCGCCGATATGTTGAACCAACGAATTAAAGGAATAAATTCGTGGATAGCCCTCTCAAAGATCTTGTAATCATGACTTGTCCAGGTTTTCATGTTCTTTTGAGTTGTTTTATTTTGAGCAGTACCCCATTTAATTAAATAGTCACAAATTGTCTTCTCATCTAATTTTCCCATATCATCACGTTGCAATATAAGGATTAAAATAGAAGGATCTAATTGAATAAGCTTTGGGCTACCGAACAATGCATCGGGATAGAGACATGTAAGATAAATACAGTATTCGCGGAATGGTTCACATATATCATGCCTAAAAATTATTTGCAGTACACCAACTGCGTCATTTTGGAAAAGATTGTCTAAATTTTGATCCACATAAGATGTCATGCTAGAGAAGGAATTTTGAAGTTGCAAAGCATTAGTTTCAACCAATATGCGCAAAACTTCAGCACCTTGAAATCTGGTTGTAATGAGTTCAAGGTTTGTCTTAAGGTTTGTCTTAAGGTTTGTATCTGTATTTGAAAATAGTTTATCAATAGTTACTCTAGTTGGCAGCTCGGCAGCTGTTTGCATGAATTGTAGAAATTGTTCAATACTCAATTTATCAAGAGCATATTTAATAAAATCATAGCTTGTTAATAAATCATCAATAGCTTTTCTAGATTTGATTGATATTTTCACGAACTTTAAAATATCATTTGCATTAAATTTGTGTATGATTATATTGGAAAGTTCCTTTTTCGATAGTGAAGCAGAAATTGCTTCCTGAAGTTGTAGTTCTTCAGATTTCTCTATGATTTCTAATACTTCAGCACTATCAAATTTGGCAAGAATGGCCTTTACAATGTTATCTCTTGATAATATATCATTAATATCCTTTTGAATTTTTAGTTCATCGGTCATCATTATGAGTTTTAAAATTTCTGCACCATTCAGTTTCTTTAGAATAATTTCAGTGAAGTTAGTAGCTGATAATAGATTAGAGATAATAAATCTGAGGTCCATTTTATTTGCTGCTACAATTAGCAGCAAGATGTTGGCTCCATTCAATTCTTCCAAATCAAATTCAGTAACGTATAAATATCTTTTAAATAAAATTTCAATTAATAAAAGCTGCTGATACGTGTATGCACATATTAATATAAAATTGCAACTACCTTAAAATGATTTCAAAAACATCCGCATGGATATTTGGAATTGTAAAAATAAAAGGATTATTATCATCTTTATTAAATTTATTAGAGAAGGCGGTTTCGAAATAAGAGGAACGTGCACATAAGATCAATGAATGTGCATAAAAATCTTTGAAATTACAGCCTTCACCAACACGAACGATGACATCAAAATGATCCTTCATTTGAAACAATTTTTTATTAATATCGACAAGTTCCTCATATGAACTAAAAGTCGATTCGGATTTTGTTGTTTTAGTTGTTGTTTTTGGTTCAGACGGTGCAGTTCTTGATGGTAAAAGTCTAGTGCTAGCTGGTAGAGAGCGAGAATCTAAGTTGTAGCTTAAAATACTATTAAATAAATCTTCAGATAAAATATTTTTAAGAAGTTGCCTTTTTTCTTTAAATTCTTTTTTTGAGATTCGAAACCAGCGAATTAAAGGAAAAAATTCATGAATAGTCTTTCGAAATATAATGTAATCTTTTTCTTGCCAATATTCCATGTTTTTTTCTTGAATGGTATCTGAAATTTGGGCAATTCCCCATTTGATTAAGTAATTTAAAATGCTAACTTCGCTCAATTTTCCTAAATCATCCAGTTGCAATATGAGTGCTAGAATATGTGAATCTAGCTGAGTAAACTTGGAATGTTCGAATATAACACTTGGATTAGCGCATATAAGCTTAAGACATGGTTCGCGGAATGACTCGAATATGTCATATTTAAAAACAATTTGTAATACTTTAAACGCATCACTTTGTATTAATTCTTCCAAATTTTGATGTACAAAAGGAAATAATTTGTCATTAATTTCTTCATTAAGAAGTAACCTATCTGTTTCTACTAAAAATTCCAAAATTTTAATATCATCTAATTCAGATAAAGAAATTTCAGTAGTATATATGTATCTTTTAAAATAATTTAGCTCAATTAATAATCTTTATATGGCGAGTATATAAAACGCTATAAAATAATATTAATAATATATATACCTTAAAACAACTTTAAATGTATCTATTGACACATCATTCATGTTAATGATGAAAAAATTTCCATCCTTTTTAGCCCAATTGCTGGAAAGTGCTGTATCAAAGAAAGCGGAGCGCGCTCTTAAAATAAGTGAATGTGCGTAAAGCTTTTTTAAACTTTCTCCTTGGCCAAGCTGAATAATTACATCGGAATTATGCTCATTTTGAAGAAGCTTTTTATTATATAAAGCAAGTTCTTTAGAATTTGCCTTCATTTTTTTTTTTTTAGCTTTACAGATTTTTTCGAATTATGATTATTTAAGTTATAGATTTCTGAAACTCCTTTATATAAAGTTACTTTTGGTGTTACGTCACACAATCTGTATTAAAGTTCATGTTCATTATTAAGATTGCTAATTAAGTTAATCCATTATTTGTCTTTTATTATACGTACGTACGTACGTATTACTTTTTTTTTTTAAAAAAAATGAAATGGATTTATTGTAATACCGGTGTGCGTCCATAATTCGGAAGCTTCATTATCGCGCGATTACATAGGAATAATAAGTCCAGAAATAAAGTAACACTCCCCAGCGAAAACATTTGGTACGTGATGATATACAACCATGTGGCGTAATAAATCAAGAAAACTTGAAATATATATGGGTAAGTACACAGCAAAACCATGCTTAGAGTATATATAATCTATATACTCTATGCTGTGTACTCACCCATATGTTGTAGGTGGGAACGGAATTTCTTAATAAAATTATAATTTTATGATACAATTTATTTTATACAAACCTATACCTTAACTCTAAAAATCCTAATAAATTCCAAACCCACTTAATCTTACAACATATGTATATTTTTTTTTAAATAAAAAAGCTTTTATTTTTCAAAATTTGCTCTTTTTGGTCTAGTAAAAAGTTTTCCTTAAGTAATTGTAATTTACAGGTGCTAACATTTATCCTAAAGTAATTACTAATCTAACATAAATCCGTCGCAATTACGGTATATCCTATAATTATGGATAAAAATCTCGAAGGCTGTAAAACCATAAACCGTGATTCCTTAATGCCATTTTACTGTAGCATCCAAAAATGTATGCCCAGATTGGTGCGTCACAGTGGTTAAGTGGTATTGTTTGGCAAAGTAAATAATAAAGACAGACCTTTGGGATCCACTTTAACAACATGCATTTAGAGAATAATAAGAAAAGGCGCATTTATGGAGGTCGGTATATATTTGGGCCAGAATCTGAGAGTCATTTAGAGGTTGTGCACTTATAGAGGGTGCACTTAGAGAAGTCTGACAGTAATAGTAATAATCGTAAGCAAATTCGAATTTATGACCGAATTTATGACTTAATTGTTAAAAATAATAAAATGGTAATTTCTAATGTATATTCTGTGCGTGAAATTAGAATGGGTATGGATTTTAAACAGAGTTGTGTCAGATTAAATTGAATTGGGAGTGCGTAAAATTAAAATAAAAGGTTTTGCGTTGAATTAATTTGATAATTTATACAAGTGATTCTAAGAAAAACAAAACACTGAACTCATAAATTTATAACGTATCAAAATTCTTCAGATTTTTTAGGGCAAGTTTTTAGATTTAAAAGTCGAAGCCAATGTATAGTTTCCTTATACCTTATTATACATGTGACCGAAATATTTGGTTTGTGGTGAAGCTATTACAGCTTATATCGTAATTATTTTGAATAGGCCTGCAGTGAATCCCTAATTGCAACAATACTGTAATTTATCCTCTTTTCGATTTGCGAATTTTGCAGATCTTTGTGAGCAGGGCGTAAAATACCAACTTATCTACTGGCCATTCAAAAATCTCGTTCTTGATTCAAGTTATTTTAATTATTCTAATGCATCAAAAAAGACGCTTTAAACAATGGGCTGCATGGCCGGTAAATGGGTATTTTACGCCCAGCCTGTGAGTCCCGTGAATTTCACGATTACAGTCAGGGCTAAAACGACACAGTAAATGTCAGCCATTTACTGCGCCATTGCTTATTGTTTAAAGTATCTTTCTTGATACTGCATCAAAATTATAATAATGTGAATCAAGAATGACACTTATTGAATGGCAGGCATTTACTATGTGTCGTTTTAGCCCTGATTACAGTATATTATAGGTTTTACGTGCCTTTTATTCGTCATATTTTGTGGAACTCTAACAATTACTGATTATTTTTATTTATTCATGGATTTTCTTTTTACAGGCTCCATTTACTAATATATATATCGTGAATACACATGGGACCGTAATTTATGTATGAAACTCTTAATTGTTTGCCTTTTTGAGGTGAGCTGTAACTTATAATACTAAAATGTCTTCAAATTGTTTACTTTTTTTGGGGAGCCATAACATATAACTTAAACTTTAAATTGTTTACTTTTGTGGAAGAAGCCATTGTTACGATAGGGAGATCTTGAATCAATGAACAACCACAAATAGTTCAGATCGTAAGCATCAAATTGTTGGAGTTTATTTACGAATGCAATGTGCAACAAAGGGTACAAAGGAAGATCTATCGAAGATACTACTAAAAGTTCAAAAGAGATCTATCGATTAATGACCTTTATATAGCCCTCCAATTAGTAAGAAAATTATTATGTAATTATAGTAATGTCATTACTAATAAAAGTATTACGCAAGAAAAATATAATAATAAAATCTATTCCGAAAAATTCTGTAGCACCATTGCTTATAAATGTAACCTCTTGATCGTTCTTTTTTTGGAAGGGACTAAGACTTATTATCTATATATATTTGTTTAATGGGCAAAGTCAAAAAAAAATGCGGTTAAGTTTTTTGGATTTCTAAAATTCAACATATCCACTTTAGTATTCATGTGCATTCATGTTATATACATTAGGCTACCCAAAGTTAATTTTTCGTTTGCATTACATGGGATCTGAAAAATTGGGTCGGTCGGTCGGTCGGATTTTTTTTTTTTTTTTTTGCTGCTTCCATATCGGATAATTTCGGAACTATGACTCCGTCGGGTGAAACCTCATAGGGAGAGGAAACATTCGTATGATTGTATGATGCAAAATAATTGCTCGTGTAACTTATTTATACACTTTATTAAAGTACGTACTTTTCGAGAACGTAACGTTTCACTAATAAAAAATCACCACAAAAGCCATTATTCGCTTCGAAAGAACGTTCATATTCATTATTCAAAATAATCAAAATAATCAGTAACCCCACTAATTTCACTTAGGAGCGAATTTTCTATTTGTTATATATAAGTTATTATATATAAGCACTATATAAGTACTAAATCCCAAAACCGGTCAATTAAAAAAAACGAAACAAACGCTATCTAGTGTAAGTGAGCAGAGGTCTTTTTCGATTTTTAACAGCTGCCCTACCTTGTTTAGTGCGCCGAAAGTGCATCGGGGGTGCGTCGTGTTCACATAGTAGAAGCACTCCTTATGCGAACCTGAGTTACACTCGACGCACCCCTGATACACTTTCGGCGCACTAAACAAGGTAGGGCAGCTGTTAAAAATCGAAAAAGACTTCTTCTGTGTAAGTGTTGGCTAAAAAGCTTTAAATTTATCATTTAACTGTTATGCCAATAACATATCATAATATCTTACACATTACGGAGGTTAATTCATTAGAATTTGTTATATACACCTTATGCAAATTAATATGGTGAATAGGCTTCGTACAGCGTTGAGAAGTTATCAGGATTGAAAACATTATAGCTATCAGATATATGTAGCAAACACAGACTATTATTACTTTTATTATATATATATTTATTTAATTTTTATAAATTTATTTATTTAATTTTTATAAAGTTAAAATATTTATTGATTTAAAATTTCTAACTTTTTATATTGAAAAAATTAAACTAAACTTTATCTGATTGTAAAATATTAAGAATATTGATCTTTGTTTAATAAGTTGCTTGTGTAATCTTAAGAACGTGTTATATAAGTAATAATTACAAAAATAAGTAAATAAGCCAAAAACAAAGAATAAAAAAATAGTGAGGAGCAAATAATAAAAAAATAAAAGAATATGCATAAAAAGAAAAACGCAAGTAAAAAAAATAAAAATAAAATATAAAAAGAAAGAAAAAAAGAAAAAGAAGAAAAAAGACACTAATTTAAAATAAAAAGAGCAAAAAAAGGAACCAAAAATATAATGTTAAAATCATACAACTATTTCACATTATTGACTTATACTAGAAATTTATATATGTGAATTTAATTCATTAATAATTTAAGAGTTTCTATCAGGGTCTTCATACACAAATGCTTTTGTTAAAAATATGTATTATTAGATAAAAATATAATTTAAAAATCATGATTATATATTAAGTTTATGCTACTCACTAATAATTTAACCACCGATAATTTAATGCAGATAATTGTTAAAGTATATATTATTAAATATAGAATATATACTGTATAATTTAAAAATCAAATAAAAATTTAAATCAAAATATACTAAAAATATATACTTACAATAACCTAATAATTTAGCAAAAAAGTGCATATAAGTTTGCAGATAATAATAGTTTTAAAAATAAATATAGTAAATTTATACTTACTGGCTAATAATTTTACAAATATATGTTAAAATATTTATTAAATGCAAATTTAAAAATAATAATTTTAAGATAACTATATTATCTAATTACCACCCAGAATAAAATCTATTATTTAGATTAATCAATATATTTGTAATATTTAGTTTAACAAAATTTTCTTATATACAATTTTATATATAATTTTGTTAGATCTACTGCACATTATTATATAGTATCTGAGCAATTTTAGATAATAAGAAAGAGAAATATAATGACATGGTATATATATAACTTATTTATATAGCAAATAATTAATATGAGTATATTAATATATTTTTAATTTTTTAAAATAAGAACAAAGATATCTCAACAATTATCTAAGCAAATTTGATAATTTAGTTTTATTTTAATTTTATAATTCTATAGAATTAAAAAAATGTCTATTGAATTAGCTTTAATAGTTGTTAAAATATCTTTGTTCAAAGTTTAACA